TCCACAAATCTTCAAGCCACCAAGGTTGAGAAGCATCTAAACCAAGGGCCTTCAAACTTGGCAAGTTTAAGACTTGTGGACTTTTGACTCCCAGAATTCCTGAGCTAACATGACTGGAGGAGGAATTCTGGGAGTTGAAGTCCACAAATCTTCAAGCCGCCAAGGTTAAGAAGCATCTGAACTTAAGCACCAGGGGGAAACAACGGAGGGAGAAGGAAGACATGGGTTTATAAGCAAGCAGAAAGCATGCGTCATTTCAGCTAGGCTGGGTTACAGCATTAATTATAGCAGGGATAAGCAGGAGGAGTAGAGATCTGCTCATTGGACAGCAAAGGTTTCCTACTTATATTGTTCCAAGAACTGCATCACAAAAACTTGGTCGCTTCTAACTTTCTGGATGTTTTATTGTGAGAGTGGAGAATGGTGTGAGCTTCTTTTGAGAGCCATCCTAAATTCCTGGGCTCAGAGGCAACCTACGTCTGAACAACCTGCTTATTCAAGGCCAGTTAGCAGTTTCACTGGCCCAGTAAGCAACATTTATTTAGTTCTCCCATTTTGTACTTTTTGTTGTTGTTGTTGTTGTTATTGCTGGTTAGCATTTTGTGCAAACCTAGCTCCATTTCTTCTTAGCATAGGCTTCAACGTATTGTACGAGCCAAGGAAATGGGCTGATTTGGTACGAAGGTCAAAGGTCTGCTGTAAACTTGGACTTTGCGCATGTTCATACAACTAAGCCACGCCCATGCGCTTCGTTCCAGTAATCAATGCGTGAACCTCTGCAGGTCCCAAGCCTCTTCAACTGTGGTGAAAGCCAGGATCAGAACTATCTGAGGAAGCCACGGGTTAGGGAAAAGCTGTAGTGGGTAACAGGAAGTGGGAATATCAGGACTAAGGGACCAATTCGGCCCACAGGTGGGTGTGACTTTTTTTGTTCTTTCATATCCACCCAAATCAAGGAACTTGGGTTTAAACTGAGCTCCTATATTTAGGCTGCCTATTCTAGGCTATGACTCAGGATGGGGAAGTTTCCCCGCTACGAGCCTCAGCAACCCCAATTACCCATGTGCAGGACAGAGAACATCACACATCCCATTTTCCAAGGCCGTTTAAAGGATTAGTAGGACGTAAGGCATCTTAAGAGCAATTAGAACACTGGAAAGCAGGGTATGAAGGTTAGATAGCATTTTAATAGTCACTTTTAAGAGGGTAAATGTTTCCATGTGATAGGATCCTACAAAAACTGAACTCTGGAAGAGGACAAAAACGGGTCAAGATGAATGCAACGGCTAATGTCAGCGGTAGAAAATCTGCACCGTTTGGCGATACCATAGGAGTGCTTATATCCTCACCAATAATGAAAACTTAAAATTGCAGCAGATCAGATTCCACGTTCCCATTGGAAGGGCAGCAGAAGAACAGCCTGAGGGTTTGCCAAGTATTTTTGGTTTTTTTAGAATCCCTCCCTTGAGAAAACAAAACACCCATCTTATCTTTCTTTGGTTTGGGAAGCAGGTGCCTGGAGAAATGGTGCTAAGAGGGAAAAAATGAGGCCAAAAGGCCTGTTCAATAGCTTTGGGGAGACAATGATCTAAACAGGGTACCTCTTTTAAATTACATTACCTTTAATGGCTATATTTCCGTGAAACCAAATAAGCATCTCCAGAGAGAAACAGTAAGGAGTTTCTATCCCCAGGATCAAAGACATGGCCTGGAGGCTGTGTGATGGAGCCATCTTCCTTAAGCTAAGCGGGACCAACCCTGGTTAGCATTTGGAAGAAGGACCAGATGGGGAACCTTGATGCACCAATCTCAGGTTTCATGGAACTAGTGAAAGATAAGCCTGCCCAGGAATGTCAACTAGATGGAACAACATTTCAAATGGCAACAGGTACCATGCTTGTTGCGGCATGAAACAAGGGGAGTGAGAGGAACAGGACATTCTAGGGGAAAACAAGGACAATTTAGTGTAATGGCTACAGACAATACACATTAAGAAGAAGCAAAATACAGAGCCGGGAATATGTTAAACCAGGTCACTGGACCAATTAGCATCCACAGAAACGTGGGCAACTGCTCAGTGATAAGAGCTCACGCTTCGTAGAAAGTCCCTAATTCAATTTTTGGCAGCTCCGGAGAGAAATAGCAGGAGAGGGGAAAAGCTAGGCCAGCCATGACATGATGATCAAAAACTCTGACCTGGTGTGAACAGCTTCCTTGGTTAAAAGATCAACTGTGATTGCAGTAGATCAGAATTTATTTTGTTTTAATATAAAATATTGTGCGGTAGATCAGAATTTATTTTATATAATATAAAGCCTGTGCAATCAAGCACATTTTTTTCAGAAAGCAATTCTAAGAATAGATCTTTATCTATGGAGTCATGATTGTCCCAAAGGTGCTTTTTTCAAGGGGCAACTGGACTTTGTTTTTTCTTGTTTTTTTTTTCAAGGGGCAACTGGACTTTGTTTCGCTTCTCATCCAAGAAGCTTCTTCAGTTCTGAACTTCTTGGATGAGAAGCGACATGCCTTCAAGGAAAAACAAAGTCCAGTTGCCCCTTGAAAAAGCACCCTTGAACCAAGAACAGGTCAGCTCTCTGGCCTCAGATCTTTGGATCTGGAAAGCCTACAAAACTAAACTGACTGCAATGTTCATCGAAAAATAAAAAGCAAAATTAAAGGCCAAGTCCCAACCGTAATAAATTGCTGCTAAAGTGTTGAGGCCTAACTGCACAAAGTATGGGAGCCCAATATTAACTTGTCCTAACTCTGCCACCCACCATGACGTTCTTGAAGCAAAATGCATTATAAATTTATTTATTAAAAGATTCCCTGGAAACTACAATTCACGAAACAGGCTTTGCTCCAAGAAACAGGAACAGGCAAGGGAGAGTGTGAGTGAGCAGACATTGTTCAACAGAGGCACAGCAGTTTCCTGGGGGGCAGCAGATGAGTTTGGATCCTCCTTAGTGGGACATCTGATGTTCTGTATGTTTACCATCAAGCCACATAATGCATGATTTGGTTTATGACACAGATTCTGTATGCAGATCCTCAGGAGCTCACCTTCACTCGATGACTTTAATATTTAATGACTGCCTTGGTCATCCAAGGTGACTGACTGGGCTGGCAGGAGAGGACATGACTTTGAGTTCCTTCTCTGCCAACTTCGGTTGGTTTTCATGTGGGTTTCCCCTCTCCTGTGACCAGTACAAAACACCTTGAAAGCCCTCAACCTTAGAGTGGGCTAGTCGCCTTTGGGGGCTTGTTGATAACGTTCTACAACAAGCATGTATTTTCAACAAATTGTAGGGAACTGCAGCACAGAAACGTACCATAAAGAGGAATGTGTTCCTCCCACACCCCAAAAAAGGAAGGGGGGATTCTGTGGACAAGTTTTTCTTAAGGGTGGTACCCCCGGATGGACCTTCCCTTTCTTCTTCTCATAGGCCTTAATGCTTCTTCCCCATCCCTGACGGTTTACATACCACATTTCAACTTCTTTCACAAAATCGTGCCGTGTGACAATTTAATATGTTAAATCCGCACAAGTTGCAAAATAGAAACCCGCCAATATACAAAGTGAGTCATTAGCAATGGTCATTTCCATTGGTTAAACCCGCCTCTCCACAAACATTTACGCCCCATGTGGTTTACAGGAAGGTAGATAAAACAAACAAAGCCGAATCGATGGAACAATGAAAGTGTATCAAAAAACACACAGTTGCAAAAAAGCTACAATTAAAGACAGTAGAAACATTAGCTTTGGACTTATACAAAACTTTTCAAAGGCAAACTACTAGAACATTAATTAAAAAGCCCGTCTTAAACACAGGCACTTGGGATGTGAAGCATCAAACATTATTATTCATTCCGGTATAATGTAGAAAGCAATGCTCATCATCCAAGTTTGGACATTCAGTGCAGAATTCCAGCCCTTTGGTATGGGCTGGATTTTAGCTAGTATGGTTATACAAAGATATACAAATATTTTTTAAAAAATGCCCCTGACTAGAAGGTCATATCATATCGAACAGGAAAACCAAAGACACACACAGAGACCACACATGATCACGCAACCAACTCACAGGAGCACATCAGTCCAGCCATGTTCAACCACTCAACTGTTACCTTTCTTAGACAGCCGTTCCACTCGCCGTGCTTCAATCTTGTCGCACTTCCGATACCTGTCAGCCAGACATACATTGTCAGAGGAGAGGAAAAAAGAAAAACTACCTCCAACAGACTCTTCAGCCCAGGGGTTCAGAAATAAGCCAGGAGGACTTAAGCTTGGGAGGGGGCACACACCTGGATGTTGGGAGAGCACAAAGGGTAAGATGGCTGCCACAAGGGACTATTAAGTAGAAATACCCATCGATTAAATGTTGAATTCTCTAGTGTCACGGTTAGTCTTTGGTGGGGAACCAGGATCATTCCTGAAAATATGCCAGAGTCTTGATAGTTTGGCAACAATGCCAACTTCCTGTAATTATTTATTTTAAAAGATGTTTTTAAAAGGCAGGTGGATTGGATGGGCTCTGGATGCCTCCTGATGCCAGAAACACCTCACACTAACTGAATTCACATTTGACAGCCAATGAAAGATCGGAGGCTTTTTATAAGCCTTTATAAGCCTTTTAAGAAGAGACTGGACAGCCATTGTCCGGGATGATATAGGGCAGTGATGGCGAACCTTTTTGGCACCAAGTGCCCAAACAGGAATGTGTGTGCATGTGTGTGTGCCAGAGCACTGGAAACCCGAAGACTGGCTGGCCGGTGCATGCATGCCTGTTTCTTTGGCTGTTTTGGGGGCCATTTTCCAGGCTGTTTCTGGCGTGAAAATGGCCCCAAAAATGGCCTGGGTTTTTTGGCCATTTGGGGGGCCGTTTTCAGGCCATTTTTAGGGCCGTTTTCCAGCACTCCAGCTCCCGCAAAGACCAGCTGGGTGGTGCGCATACATGTGCCATAGGTTCACCATCACGTATAAAGGGTCCCCTGCAGGGAATTGGACTAGAAGACCTCCAACTCTGTAATTCTGTTACAGGCTAGACACAAGCATCAAGTAAAGCCATCAAAACAGAACCCCAGGCCTTCCTCAGGACAAGGTGGATCCATTGGAATAATTAAGTAGGAAATTGATCTTGCTATCACATGGGTCCTAAGACAGGAAAACAATGACTCCTATTAAAATTAAGAAACCCACGTGTATCTCGTGATAATTTGGAGCCATGAAGCTTTCCAAATGTATTTGGTATCTGAATCCTCCCACTGGCTGTCTGGATGTAGAAGCTGAAAAATCCACCTCTTGGCAGGACCAGGTTGGGGGCCAGGATGACTTACGCTTAAAACAAAACCTCTTAAGACCGACACTGCTGTGGGAAATGCAACGTCCTGCCTGCACAACTTGTAAATTTCTATTTCCCCACCCACCCCCACGGAAAAAGAATTTCCATCCTCCTTGACATGTATGCACTGTCCCATGAGGGAGAAGACTTGAGGTTCCGTTGCAGGGTTTTCAGTCTTGGCCGCTGTAATATGTGTTGGCTTCAGCTCCCAGCATTCCCTAGAGAGCAGGTTGACTGAAGAATTCTGGGAGTTGAAGTCCACGCATCTTAAAGTTACCTAGAACTGTTCTAGTGGATATGCTACAAAGTTCCAAGTTTTCTTCAAGGATTATTTTCTCCATCCTACACTTCTGCTGTTTTCATTGAAATCTCTTTGTTTTTCTGTTCCAGAACGATCATGCCCCAAAACAGGATGTTACTCTACTCTAAGCACTGTGTGAGTGCGTATAAGAAAACAAGGAGTCCTTGGTGCTCTCTGAACTTGGTTATTTTCTTGCAGATGTTTCATTACCCAACTAGGTAACATCATCAGGGCTACAAAAAGAAAACAAGGCTACAGCAGAGTTTGCCGAATCACCTTCTCCTTCCTACCCTATCGCAAATATTAATAATAGCTAGCTTTTAGAGTCCAAAGACAAAATCCAGCTGTAGAAAATTGTAAGAAAGTCATGGAAAGAGAGAAAGGAATTCCAGCAGTGAGTTAGATGCTGGCAGGGTGGGATGTGTTCAGCTTCAGAACACTCAAAAGTGACATACTACCTAGAGCCAAATTATGAGAGTAATAAAAATGCAAGATAACAAAGCCGACTCAACTTGATAAAGAGCTTGGGATGTTTATCACAATCTGTATGGCATAGTGAAGTTTGTTTATTTAACTTGCACATTAATTGTGGTACAGATATATGGAGAAAATAACACACCATGCTTAGATTTCAGTACTCTGACTCATCTGTGGCTTCACCTTTCAAGGGTATTTAAACCTGGGTCTCAGACTGTAAGGGTAACATAGTGTAAGGTTTAGGGCAGGGGAGTCCAACTTTGGCAACGTTAAGACCTGTGTACTTCAACTCCCAAAATTCCTCAGCCAGCAGAATTCTGGGAGCTGAAGTTCACAAGTCTTAAAAAATTGCCAAGGTTAGACATCCTTGGTTTAGGTATTAACTCTGTTAAGGGAATCTTGTAATAAAGCCCACAGTGAGTGACCCTGGCCAGCTGCCATCACTCAGTCCATGCTGGGATAAAACTGATAGCATGAGGATTATATAAGCCACTTCTGAGCTTTTAGAGGAAAAGTGGGGTATACTGTATTTTTTGGAATATAAGATGCTCCAAAGTGTAAGACGTACCTAGCTTTTGGGGAGGAAAACAAAGGGGAGGGAATCTGCCTCTGCCTCCCAGCAATTTGTCTCCTTGCAGCAAACAGCAGCCTGATCGAGCACAAGCAGCTGATTGTCCGGATCGGCCTCCCGACAATCAGCTGTTTCAGACTGCAGGGATCACCATCGCCTATCACTGCCTCCCCGTTTTCGACCTCTGCACACCCTATTTTCCGCCCGTTCCAATCCCTGTCGGCCGTTCTGAGCCAAAAATGGGGCGCACAGAGGCCAAAAATGGGACGTGTGGAGGCAGCAATAGACGATGGCGATCCCTGCAGCCTGAAACAGCTGATTGTCGGGAGGAAATTCCAACCAACAATCAGCTGCTTGCGCTAATCAGGCTGTGCTGAAAGTGAAACGGGCTGTTTGCCATTTGCTGCAAGAAGGGAAATTGCTGGGAGGCAGAGGCTGAAGGGTGGAGGCTGGCAGGTGGGCGGGGCTTGGGCAACATCTGCTGTATAAGACGCAAAGACATTTCCACCCACTTTTGGAGGGGGGGGGAGTGCATCTTATAGTCCAAAAAATATGGTAAGTCCAACCGACAAAGAAATCACTATGTCAATGCCTGCAGTCTCCTATCTGCTGACTTTCTAACTTATGATTTTCCTCTGAAGATGCACAGCAAGTAGCTATAGATTTTTTTAAAGTTGCCTTGCCTACCTTTAAGGAGCAGAGGTTGCTTTTGACTGTCGAGAGGGGATGCTAAATTTTGCAGCCAGGGCTTGCGCTGTAGAATCAGCATTTACAAACCCTTAACTGCAGGTGGAGCCTTTCTTCTTGGCTACGGATGAAACCCTGAACTCTTGAATTCTAATGCTTGGCAAGCACGAAGGAGTGGACAAGGCTGGAGTTAGGGACTTCCCAGACACACTCACACGCAGCATTGCTTCTTAGTGTTTGGCCCGCCAAATTTTGGTTTGTCCAGGCAGTTGATGCATTCGCCGCAGTCCTGGAGCCTCAGGCATCCTTTGCACTTCCCACAGCGAGTCATGCGGTTCTTTTTGCCATGATGGTGAGAAATGTGGCGACGCACAGGGGGCGGCGTAGCCTTGACAGCGGAATCCGGCTTCACTTGTTTCTGCTGGCCACACTCATTCTCAGACGCTGATGAGGTCTCTGTGGAATAGTCCAAACATTAACTGGATTGTAAGATCCATGCTGCAATCTCTAATCCTGTAAGCCTCTTTGAACTTCATCCCAGACTGTGGCTAAACTGAACCCGTGGATATTAGCTGACATAATATTCTGACTTGACAAGTTAGATCAGTGTTCTCCACGGTGTTCAGGATTGGCCTCCAAGAGTCAATGGACCCCAAGAGATTGATAAATGGCTGAAGGTCAAGAGGTAGCTGATAAATAATGGAAGGTCAATTGGGGTCAATTAATCTTCTGGGGTCTCTGTAGATCTCCACATTACCGTGTTTCTCCAAAAATAAGACCCTGTCTTATATTTTTGCCACCCAAAAAAGGTACCAGGTCTTATTTTCAGGGGGGGGAAATGTCATCCACTGACTCACGGCAAGGCTTTTCTGAAGGCTTCTATAGCTGATAACAGAGCTCCTGATCGACCCGAAGCTCTGTTATCAGCTACAGAGACCTTCAGGAAAGCCTTGCTGGCTGCAGAAGAAATGGGTCGAGGTGTGTGACATGTCAGCTTTGAAAGCCATATTAGCACCAGAAGCTTCCATGCTGCCACATTCTTGTGCTTGGGAAATTGGGAGGGGGGATTTCATGGAGCGTGTGTAGTTCGACATAATAGCATTCCTCTTTATGGTCAAGGTCATGTTATTCCTGCAGCTGGATGAGGAGTGGTTTTTACGGGATGTCTCAAGTTGGGACGGATGGTGATTGGGGCATGTGATGGAATGATGGGATGGACTTGTGCATTTTAATTATTGAAGGAAGAAAACCTGGAACTCTCAGATTCGGGTTTTCCCAGATGTGCCAGTATGACTTTTCCAATAAAAAGACACTTTGAGAAAATGCCTGTCTCTGAGTTTTTGATTGGAGTTTGGTTTTGCTGGAATGCTGACACAAGGCCTGGCTGCACCTGTCCAAGGTAAGTAGTGGGGAAGCTCCACCCCACCCCACATCCCCACCTTAGCTTAATTTTTACCCATGCACCCTGGAGTGGTTGGGGTTTTAATTGGGGATTATTTTTGGGGGGTAGGGCTTATATTGGGCGCATGTGTAAAAATTAAGTTAGGACTTATTTTCTGAGTGGGTTGTATTTTGGGGGAAACATGGTAATCCTGAAGGTGAAGTAGCCAGCAGTGAGAGATATTACCTACAGATTCACAATCAGATGCCAGCAATATTCATGATCTTGAATATTACTTATTACTAGTAGTAGTACTAGTAGTGTTAGTTAAAATAGTATTTATTGAATTATTTTCACATAATAAATGTTTGGGAGTCGAACAATCTGAAACTTCACGAAGGGGTCAATGAGCTGAGAAATTTGGGAACCCCCCAAGTTAGACAAAACCTTCTACACCTGTTATTTCTACCTTATCCTGGGAAAGTCAGCAAAAGTCTGATTTCATTGGAGAAAAAGTGCCACGATGGAACAGTGGACGGAACAGGCTGAAGAAGCTTCAGTCCAACTCATATTGTAAGACATCCATAAAAGGACTTTTTTGTATTTACATGTTATAGAATTTTGCTTGGTAAAGCAAAGGTATAGAAATTGCACATTCAGGTGCAAGGATGGTGCACCTAAGCTAATTCTTTGAAACCTGTCTCTTCTACTGTATAAACCACAAGAGCACATATTCAGATTTTCACACACACACACCCATCTGAACCCTATAAGACAGTGGTGGGATTCAAATATTTTTACCACCGGTTCGGTGGGTGTGGCTTGGTGGGCCAAACGCGCACTTTGCGCAGGTGCAGAGGTGTTCCAACTCACTTCCTGCAAGCCTGCACTCTCCCAGTCGCTTCAGCAGCTGCCGCGCATGCAAAGCAGCTGCACTTCAAAAGCAGGGAATCAAGGTGAGCATGGGAGCCCAGGCGGGTGGGTGGGCACAACACCAGAGTGGCAGAGAGAACCGGTTCTGTCTCTGCTGCTCGTCGGCGCTACTGGCTCGGCAGAACCGGGCTGACCCAGAATACCACCACTGCTATAAGAGGCAACTAGCGTGGCCTAAGAGCCAAAACCATGAGAGTTAAGAATCTGGCTTTTTTTTAAAAAAAAAAATGGTTCAGCTATGCTTGCATAGTATTCCTAACACAGGTCCAAATTGCACTTTCAACAACAAAAAACAGTCATGAATACGCTTCAATCCTCAAAAGGAGTTGCTAAGAAGTCAACAAAACGATCCCGGGAATATGATGAGCACCTGCAGGGATCATCATACTGATTTGTAAGCATATGGAGGAATCCAAAGCTATGTATTTCGATATTGCTTCTTCCTCCCCACTCAAACTAAGTCAGGATTCCTCTTCTCCTCGCCCCCGCCGGGACAAACAAACAAGCAACAGATTTATTCTGTCTAAGCCTATGCAGGTGTTCCAATCCTTTCCTATGTTTATTCCACCCAAAGTTGAATAAAAGCTTAGCCTCGTGATGTCATTAGCAGGCGTTACATATTAAGGTAGACAATTTACTCAGGGAACAGGTTTACCCAGCGGTGACAATGCGAGGCCAGAAGGCGCAAGTTGAGTCTTCAGCCAATCTCTTCCACAAATACTCACCCTCTATGGTGGGCGATGCAGCAATCTCTTCCCTCTCTCGCAGAGGCAGGGCACTGAGACGTGGCACGTCCTCCGGCACCATCGCACGAGACTGCCCTAAGGCCACCGAGGCATGCCGACAAACGTGCTTGATCCGTGGGCCCTGCACCGGGGACTCCTGGCCCTGTCAAGAACACGCAGTAAGGACTTCCATTATCATGAGTGACAAGAAGCAGCAGAGCTGGTTCTTCCACAGAAACTGTTTGGCCGGGCTCCATGCATTGTGCTGAGCCACACTGTGCTGACAGGCCTGTGAGGGGCTGAGCTCACACACAGTATGAAGCAACAAACCGTGAAGCGGGAGTCACGATAACTAGGTTATCAAGCTCAGCGCCCAGATTTCCCCCTTTTTTTTTTTGTATTTGGAAGATGGTTGCATGGCTGCAAGTCAATTACCTGTTTTCTAACCTCTTTTTTGTCTTCTGCCGTGTTGAGGTCTGTGGGCGTCTCCTGCTCAGCCGGGAGTTTTGGAGTCTCAAAGGCCTCGGCTTTGATACTTTGACACCCCTAGAAGAAAAGGACAGCAGCATTATAATCCACATGGTTTGGGACCCCCCCCACCTTCGATACTAAATTCCCCAAACAATTCTGCCCGTTTTCCAACACAATGGCAGCTTTCATTCCAGAAATCTCTCAATACAGCAGCACCAATCATTTCCCATGAAACACAGCATGGTGTACACAGATATGGCCAGGCGCGCAGAGTCCCAAGGGCATGCTCAAATCACACTAAACCATCCAATGTTCACTGTGGCTAATTGAATAAACAACAGATGGGCTGTATTCACACAACATGCCAAGCCAAAACTAAAGAAAACATGTCTTCCTTCGTGTGTTCACATAGCACACTCAACCTGATAATTGTAGGAATCCAATTACGGGATTTTTCAAAACACACCGAACTATAAGCTTACCAAATGGCTAGCGTTCAGGCTATGTGACAAAAAAACTATCACAAAAACACATTAAAAAAAGACTGACAGTCGTCATACGTGGCATATTGTGTGCATGCAGCCACTAGCTTTGGCACTGGTCACATTAAGCATGTTTGATAAAGGCAAGCTATTACGGTGTGGAGCAGGGGCATCCAACCTTGGCAATTTTTAAGACTTATGGACTTCAAGTTAGTCAATCATGCTCTTATGCTGGCTGGGGAATTCTGGGACTTGAAGTCCACAGGTCTTAAAGTTGCCAAGGTTGGATACCCCTTTCTTAGAGCAAAATATAAACCCAGCCTCAAAGTAGCTATCACCTTTGAATCATAGGTGGTAGCTTGTCCCAATCTCCATTCTTCTCATTTACTGTTCAGAATATCTCAGAACCTTTAGATTTCTTTCCTAGGGGCAGAACTTACATAAGATAGAGCAATAAACTCAATTCTTTGAATTCTGCACCACTTTTATAGTAGTTTGATCATTCTCCTTGATAAAACTTCCGGAAGGCCCGTTTTTTGCCCTCCCCAAGTCTCCGTGTGTGCCCTGCACTTACCTGCACCCAAAATGGGCTGCGTGGAGACTCCAGCGAGGGGAGGGCCAGGCCAGCCAAGAGTGGGATTTGGGAGTTATCTGAACTGCGTAGAATCTTAGCTAGGAGCTCTCCCGAACCCGTGAACCCCCAGCAGCGTACCCCTGCCCCCACTCTGATGGACGTGGCCTACCCTTGCTACGATTCCAAAACCCACATCGTTCAACCTGGAGGGTTGGTTGGGGGGGAATTTCCTCTTACCGGAATGAATTTGAATTGCTTCTGCTGGTCAATCTTGTACAGCTGCACCTTGGCACGAGTCAGCAGGCTGTAAACTTTATCCATGCTGGAAAGCGATGGGGCAACGGGCTTGGGCTGCTGTACGGGGGGCTTCACTTCCTCTGAAGAGAGGCTTGCGGGATCCGCTTCGCTCTCCGAACTACCAGCCGCTTTCTCTTCCAGCTCCTCCGCTTGGGCAGAGGAGGGAGGCAGGACTCTTCGGATGGCCACCTTGTGAACCACGCCGGGAGAATTGACGTCCTCCATGGTGATGAGCTCTTTGCTCTGCGCTTCGAGGGGTTTGGGAACCTCCGGGAAGAGGGGCAAAGCAAGGTGGTTGGTCCTTCCCACCAGTTTCTTCCCGCTGCGGGTCACCACGGGCTCGTTGGAGAGCAAGGGAGCTTCTTGCAGCGCCACCGGGGGGTCCCTTCTGACCTCGGGGGAAGCCGGCACCAGGTCAGACTCTTCGGGAGACACCGAGAGCGATTCATAGATCTTACGGTGCGCCTCGCTAGGTGTAAACTGGGGGGCCCGTAGCAAGGGAGTGCGCTTGGTTGGGGTGGAAGGGACGGGGGCTGGCGCACTGGGCCCAAGAGATGCATCTTCACTAGGCGCCTGGAAGAGAGCCTTCCCCTTCTCTTTGGGGGACAAAGTGGGGCTGAGTGAGGTCCATCGGAATGTGGGTTCCCGGAGGATGGACCGCCGTTTCTCGGGCAGGGCCGAGGAAATCATATGGAGCCCGCTTGGGGAAGATGGGGAGGACGGGGCCCTGGAGGTATCTTTTTCTGGAGAACTGGGGACTGAGGGGTTCAGCTGCTGGGGGGGACTCTGCAATGGCAACAGAGAAGCTTCCTGCTTGTCCAAAACCCCGTCAGGGACAGGGCTTTCCAAAAGCTTGGTCGCCTTCTGTGGGATCTCATCCATGAAGCGACGGGGGGTCCGGATGAGACGAGACGACCGGGCGCTCACCACCGGCATGATGAACTGGCGGATATTTTTCAGGAAGGTAGTTTTGAGAGTGGGGGCCTCCTCGGAGCCAGCGACTCCGGACTGCTGAGCCGTTCCCCCGGCCTCCTCCCTCATCTTGCCTGGCAATGGCTGAGCTGCCATGCGCCGCCCACGACCCCGTTTCAAACACCGTGCCCTTATGGAAAGGGCAACCCGAGAAGGCCCCTTCTCGGAAAGGAGGGCCGCTCTGTCGCTCTGTGGACAGGGCTGCTGCTGCTGGGACTCCTGTTTCCAAGATACCTGGTTGGGCGAAGGAAGAGCGTCACCTTCAGGTATGGAAGGCTTTGGTTCTGGGACAGGGGCCTCTGGGGCTGGCTGCAGTTCCTGGACAACTGCCTCCTGTTCTGGCTCTGGGTTTGAAACGGGGGATTTGGGCTGAGGAGATGATTCGGGGGCAGGATTCTCTGATAGCAAATGGGGAGCAGGGGGTTCGTTCTGTTTGGGTTCTGGGGCAGAGGTATCCGGCTCTGACAAAACTGCTTCCGATTCAGACACCGCCTCCGAAGGAAGCGGGGAGAGCTTCTTTTCCGGCACCACGCTCCACTTCCTCTTCCGGCCCCTTCGGTGACCCTGGGTCTTTAGCCGGACGTGAGTCACCACCAACTGGCCAGATTTATGCCGCCTGGCCTTGGAGAAGAACTTGAGGATGAGCGGTGGTTTCTTCAACGCTTCCGCCGGCTCAGAGGATGCATTGATTTCTTCTGTGCACGAGGAGGGCAGCTGGATATTATTGTTAGGCTCCGGGATGGAAGGGGAAGTTTTGGTGCTCTTGGGAGGAGGTCTTGCAACTGGTTTCTTTCTGAAGGAGCCACGTGGCCGGCCTCGTGGCCTGGGTGAGGCAGTGGAATTGAGTGTCTTCTCTGTCGGTGGTGGAAGAAGGGGAGGGGCGGTGGATTTCAATGGGTCAGCAGGTTCTGGGTCAGCTTGAGTCTGCTTAGGAAGCATCCTGACCACTTTTGGACCAGATGTTGCTTGCCGGCCTATCCTTCCCGGAGTCCCTTTGGTCCTCTGAAGCAGTTCGGCCAAAGCTTTCACCATACGATCTCGCTGGGACTCCACCGCCTTTTGTTTGGTTAACCTTTTGGAAACAGAGTCCTCAGCAAATGCCTTCTTCCTCCTGCCGTGCGATAGCAGAGAGGTACCTGTACGAAGAGATAGAAATCTTAGCTGTAAAATAAAATTGACTCAAGGGCAGGAGGGCACTCACAAAACTGCTGATCAACTGCAATTTCCATACCCCACAGAAAGAATCTGCCCAAGTAACAGTCCATTATCAGTTGAAGATTGCCCTATCCCAAGGCGGTCAAACTCAATTTAATTGAGGGCCACATCAGGGCTGTGGTTGGCCTCGGGGGGGCGGTGCATGGCCGACTGGGTGGATGTGGCCAACTGGGGGGCGTGGCCAGCTTGACGCCACTCCCCAAACTGCTGGCATGTTTCCTCTTCGCATTGGGTAGACCAGGTTGAAGAGACGCAGGTAGACTGGGCCAAAGCAAAACAGGCTGGCCCCTTACATTTTCCAGGACAACCCCACTGCGAGATCTGACCACATCATGGGCTAGATGCAGCCCACAGGCCTTGAGTTTGACCCCCCCCGCCCTATTCTGTTCATATAGCTAGTCCTCAACTTGCAACCACTCGTTTAGTGACCTTTCAAAATTACAACATCGGTGAAAAATGTGAGACTAACAACCGGTCCTCACACTTACAAGCGTCACAGCATCCCTATACTCATGTGATCAAAATTCTGGCACTTGGTCATTGGCATGTAATTCAGATGCTTCTGGTGACCCAGGGTCATAGGATTACCACTGGGAGAAGCCGTGGTGGCGCAGGATTAGAAGGCAGTATGGCAGGCTGACTCTGCCCATAGCCAGGAGTTTGATCTTGACCATCTCAAGGTTGACTCAGCCTTCCATCCTTCCAAGGTGGGTAAAATGAGGACCCACATTGTTGGGGGAAATTATGCTGACTCTGTAAACTGCTTAGAGGGGGCTGTAAAGCATTGTGAAGCGGTATATAAGTCTAAGTGTGATTGCGAGGGAGTGAGGGGAAAGAGGGGAGGCAGGGAAGGAAGGAAGGAAGGAAGGAAGGAAGGAAGGAAGGAAGGAAGGAAGGAAGGAAGGAAGGAAGGAAGGGGAGAAGGAAGCAAACTATGGTGCCGTGGTTAGAATGCAATATTGCAGGCTAATTCTACTGACTGCCAGAAGTTTGATCTTAATGGGGCTCTAGGTAGACTCAGCCTTCCATCCTTCCGAGGTGGGTAAAATGAAGGCCCAGATTGTTGGGGGCAATAAGCTGATTCTATAAACTGCTTAGAGGGGGCTGTAAAGCTCTATAAAGCGCTATATAAGTGCTATTGCTATTTGTGACTTTCCCAGCCTCCTTCCTAGAAGCCATCACAGTGAGGAAAGCTGGAATCACTTAATGACCACAAGGGTCACCTAACAGCTGCCGTGATTCACTTAACAGTGGCAAAATAGATTGTAAAATTGGGCATGACTCACTTAATCATCACCTTGTTAATTCGAGTCTCAACTGTGGTCATAAGTTGAGGACTACCTATAGAATATTGAGAAAGGCACTTTGCCTGACCATAAATGCAACATCCCGCTGATAGAATGTACACTGTACTATATAAGTTAGAAATCTTGTGGAACATTCAAAACAAGCTTTCTTTCTAAAAATGAACGATGCAATGAATGAAATTACAATATCTTAAGAAAACGTATATTGAGGCTGTGAGAATATTAAAGTTCATAAATTAGCCGGTCAGCAGCAGCAGCAGAGAAATGCTCTGAACAGCAGACAACTTTAATGATAAGAGGAAGTAGATTGCCAGGAATAGAATCAAAGAGAGAACTTCACATCTGGCAGGGAGTCATTACAAGCCAAGCCAAGCTGCGCCAAATGTCACAAAAGGTTTTAAAATACTGGGAATCCTATAAAACTGGAGAGCATTAGATGAATCAATAAACGATATTAGAAGCGAGTTTGGAAAATGGCAGTATCAGAGTCCTTGGAAGTAATCATTCCACATTCATACAAAAAAAACCAGATCCTAGTATTAGACCCACTAGAAAAGCTACTGCTTCAAATACAGTGTCACAACTAATGTGATTTTTGTGCACGGACACAACTGCTGGAAAACAGAACAATTTTTGGACCTGTTCTGAACAACATCCTTCCTATATTGTAATACAATATATCCAATTTCAAGGAAGCCAGTTGCCATGTAAGTATGGGACAGCAACTTGTCTTTTAAAATGATTCAATATTAATTCTTTAAAAATCCAACTAACAGCGTCAGAATTGAAGACTTCCACATGAGGATTAAAAAAAATGGGATCACATTCTGTCTGAGAATCAGCCTTTGAACGTTACAATACGTACAGAGATTATAGTTTGGCTGAGTCCAGACCTTTTGACCCTAAACTCAAAAACTGACAAACACAATATACTATAGAGCAGGAAGTTGTCAAACTCGTGGGCACTGGCCACGCCCACCCCCATTTTAGCGAAGGGGGGGAAAGTCGTGATACGTCACGTGACACCGTGACACCGTGGGTTTGACACCCCTGCTACAGAGAAACTATCTTATGATTAGTGTGATGGGATAGTTCCCGCAACATATTAAACCACAACTCCCATATATGTTCCCATCGGCAGGGGGAAACCTGTGGGACACTCAAAATTGATTAAAAGCATAAACGTCAAAGAACAGTTGGGATTATCGCTTTGCAAGGCTGACAACTATTGCTGATTGCAATGCTCTCAACTGATACACCATGACGTTTTGGGTGAGAACCCTAAAACTCCACGAGATGTTAAAGCTAGAAGATCAAACTCTCACGAGAATCTTCGTGCCCAGCCCTGAAGACCATGTTTGCCAGCTAGGATGCAAACCACCAACCGATGCCTCCAGAAATTCCTTACCTCTTTTAGATCTTAGAGCAGCACGCAGTGGGCTTTGAAAAGTGTTGTCCTCTGAATGGAAGCCCAGGAACTCTTCCTGCCAGGAGAAAGAAAAGTAACCATGGTCATTCCAACAGAAGGAGGGCATTGCCATACTTATCACAGGCAATATTGCTGAATACGGTCAGGGTCACCCCTAGCCCAGCACTACTGAAACAGGATGTCCCATAGGTGCTTTTTCAAAAGGCGACTGGACTTTCTTTGTTTTTCCTTGAAGATGTTTCGCTTCTTGCCCAAGAAGCTTCTTCAGTTCTAATTCAATGGTCAGTCACAGTGCAGTCAGAACTGAAGAAGCTTCTTGGACGAGAAGCGAAATGTCTTCAAGGAAAAACAAAAAGTCCAGTCGACTCTTGAAAAAGCACCTTTGGGACAACCATGATCTGGATGGTTGTGAAGCTCCATAGACATTTACTAAAACAGGAACAACTCTCGGATAGCCATAGCTTATATACCGCTTCCCAGCCCTCTTTTAAGTGGTTTACAGAGTCAGCACCTTGTCCCCAACAATCTGGCTCCTCATTTTACCGACCTCAGAAGGATGGAAAGCTGAGTCAACATTCAGCCAGTCAGAATCGAACTGCCGAACTGCTGGCAGTCGGCAGTCAGCAGAAGTAGCCTGCAGTACTGCATTCTAACCACTGTGCCATCACAGCTCTTACTGGAATACTTTCCCCATTATCTTTGGGGAAAGAATGAGGAAAATAAATACCCCAGGCCCACATGTACATACAGCAGAAAAGGTTGGCCATTTTAACACACAGGTCTCACCCACACAAGTGGCAGACTGAATCTATTCTAAAGGAAGGATCAAGTTGACAATTCTGCATGGGACCTTGTTGTCTTTATTATTTATTTCTTTATAATTTAGATTTGAAAGGTCGACCAAGTCACAGCGACTGTCTGCTGCCCCCCCCCACCCTCCCAATGCAGAAGCTTTTAATAGATTTGAATGCCTGTGGATTAGTCCTCAGTTTCAGAAAGGAAGACTGCAGGTGTTAAAATGGAGGCCAAAACAATCCTGGGCCTCAACAGCAGAGAGAAAAATAATTCTACAAAGAGACCGAAAACTCTTTTTTCTTTTGACAGGTGATCCATGATAAATCACTAGATTTCAGACCCAACTGTCAAGACGTAGTCAAGGTAGCAGCACCTGGGAAACGGATGGCAAAAAAAAGGAAGAAAGAAAGTATGCTGAGATCAGGTACAGATTCGGCGAAAGCTGGCAGGGTTTCTGCAGAAAATCAAGAAAGAAAACAGCAGAGCCAAAGAGAGCAGCGTTTTTTTCCTGTTTTGAGGCCATATTCTCTCAAGATTAAAGATCACATGGTAGACCAGTCAAACACAGCTGTTTGTAGGGTTAGAGAGAAAAGCAGTCAGGGAGATTCTCGTCTCTGCCTTCCTCTCCAGGGAAGGGAAATTCTTAGCAACCATCCAAATGGATCAATGGCACAGATTTTTCAAAATTAAGCCGACCGCTTATACTTTGCCCCTACTTTGATCTTTGTTCTCCTTTGTGTGATCTTTGTGGATTGTTGCATCTCTACATTCGTAGCTGTGGCGTTGACGGCTGTCCCAGCTGCTTCTAAATACAAGCGTACGGGTAGTCCTCGACTTACAACCACAATTGAGGCCAAATGTGAAACCTTTGGTTAAGTGAATTTTGCCCCGTTTTGACAAATCTTTCTTGCCACGGTTGTTCAGCGAATCACTGCAGCTGTTAAATGGGTTACGGGAGTTGGTTCAGCGAATCTGGCTTCCCCCACTGACTTTGCTTGTCAGAAGGTCACAAAAGGAGATCAACGTGACCCCTGCAACCGTCGTAAATATGAGTCAGTTGGTAAGTCTCTGAATTTTGATCACGTGATCTGCAATGGTCACAATGGTGAAAAATGGTCATAAAGCAGAGGTGGTATTCAGCCAGTTCTGACCAGTTCTGGAGAACCGGTAGTGGAAATTTTGAGTAGTTCGGAGAACCGGCAAATCCCATCTCTGACTGGCCCTGCCCCCATCTCTTCTCTGCCTCTCATTGAGTCCCAGCTGATCGGCTGGCTCTTGTTTTGTTGCCCTGCACAGGAGAACGGAGCTGGAAAGCAGGTTAGTGGGGTGGGGAGGGAATGGGATTTGGCAGTATCTGTCCCCTGCCATGCCCACCAAGCCACGCCTACAGAACTGGTAATAAAAAAATTTTTTGAATCCCACCACTGGTCATAAATCACTTTTTTCACCGCTGTTGTAATTTCTAACAAACACTAAATTAACTGTTGTAAGTGAAAGACTACCTGTACTCTTTCAGTGCTCCCAAGATGCTACCCTTGAAAGTGTACGGCAAACAATTATGGCGATGGTAATGGCCAGTTGTTGCAAACTACAATCTTCATCTCCAAAACAGATGCATTAATCCAGGGGTCCCCAACCACCGGGCCGGTGGACCGGTACCGGTCCGTGGAACATTTCCTACCGGGCCGCCGGTTTGGTGGGTGCCGCCATCTTGTTTGACGAGAAAGTGCTTCCGGGTGAGCTTTTCCGGTTGGAAAGCGGCGTTTGGGTCCTGAAGGAATCCTCGCGCCTTAGTTTCATCGAAGGGGGGGGCTTCGAACAAAACTAAGGCGCGAGGATTCTTTCAGCACCCAAGGCAAGGCGAGCCGAGCGACCGTCCCGAAGCCGTCCCGAAGCGAAGCCCATCGACAAAGGTACAAAGGAGGAGTTGAAGGTGGCGGGGAGAAGCTGGGGATGGCTGGCTGGCTGGCCGGTCGCTCGGCTCGCCTTGCCTTGTCATGCGTGCTGATGCCGGTACCGGGCCGCGGATCATTTTGTGATGCCGGTACCGGGCTGTGGCACAAAAAAGGTTGGGGGCCACTGCCAACAGCAGCCCTCTCTAGCTGGTGACCACCACCAGTTAAGGTCATTCAGGAGTGATCTGAACACAGGAATGAGCCATGCCTGACTAACAAATGCTTCCAACTTTTCTCTCCCACCAGCTCATCCGATCAGAGTTGCCGAATGGAGCTTATTATTCAGCATGGGATAGAAAGAGCTGTCAGCATTTTCTTCTGGCGAGGGGCAGGCAGATCCCTTGAAAAACAAACACAGGAAACAGAGAGGAATCCTGCAGTTGAAAGCAGCAGTCAAGAAATTAAAAGTCTAGCCTGATGACGATGATGATGATGCCAGAAAGATGCCAGGCTTCTTTCTGAAACAATTTGGAAGCACTTAGAACCCTTGGATTGCAGGATTTGGGAAAACAAAAGAAAGGCAAGTGGGTTTAGACCAAGAATGTCCAACTTTGGCAACTTTTAAGACTTGTGGACTTCAATTTCCAGAATTCTCCCAGCCAGCATTACCCAAATAAAACACCACAACTGAGAACTGGAAATATGGATCTTATTGAAGTGAACTTAAGAGAGGATACAGAAATAGGAATTGTATTTTCTTTCTTACTTGCTCTATTATGTTATGGATGGTTTTATTATTGTCTTCTGTATTCTGATCAATCAATCAATACATGATGATGTGCCATCATACAGAACAAGTTAGGAATTCTGGTTTATTAAGATGGAATCTGCAGAGTGTATCTTTGGGCAAGCAGCATGTACAGTAAATGGATAAAGTAATCATATTCATTTAGTACAATATTGTCTCTAAACCAGGGATTACAAAGAAACAGATTTACAAACCAGGGATCACTGTTGTTTTACAAAATCTGGCTTTTTAAACATATTTAACCATAATCCCAGGTTCTTGTTAACATTCAGCTATGCAGGATATTCACCAACTCATGGAAAGGAAATGAATGAATAGGCTGTGGGGCACAATACCACTTAATAAACCAGAACTCCTAGTTTATTCTTTTGTTTGGGGACATGCACATTAAATGCTTTTATTATATTTATATCCTATCTTCCTTCCCTATTGAAATTCAAAGCAAGGTGCAACTAATTTGTAGGTATTCTTATTAAATAGCAGCAAATTAGGTGGGTTGGGACTCGGTTCATTTCTTGGAACAATTTTAGCTGACAGAAAACTCTTTTAAGAGGAATCAACCAACTTCTGATCAGAATCAGATGATATGCAGGCATTTAAGGTGCAGAGGTCATGCATGCCCCTTCATAGGTCATGTTGTACTGTGGTAAAAGCCTAAAGCTTTGGGAGTCCATCAATAGATTTTAAAGGGTCTGTGAACTTGGATTCGGGAGAAAAATACAACTATTTTATTTTATACTAGCTCGATACCTGTGTTTCGCTATGAAACTACGTGGCCGGGCTTAATTTTGGGGGAGGAAAATAGGGCGGGGGGGGGGGGGGTTCTGCCTCTGCCTACCAGCATCCATCAGTATTCATCTGGCTAGCGTCCTGTCAGTGTGTGAGAGAGTTGAGGGCTGAAACAGTAAGTATTTGCTGTGTGAGCAAGGAGACAGCAAGGAGCGTGGGCGTGGCTTAGCTCAACTGTTCTGTACTAAAGCTGCTTGGTGCTGTGAAACTGAAACTCCTCTCCTCTGTGTTTTGCATTTGGAACAGATTTCTTTTCAGGTGGGGAGGAGGAGAAGAACTCCTTAGCATCAGAGCATGTTAATAATAATATTGGAAATACTAAAGCTATGATGGTCATTTCGAAAAATCCTTTCTTAGTGAGCACTTAAAAGCCAAGAGAAACATACATGCCAAATTTCAAGTTTGTAGGCTTTACGGTTCTGGAGATTTTGCGATGATGCATGAGTGGTCTTTCACTTATATATATATATATATGATATAGATACAGAAATAAGAGGAGGAGGAGGAGGAAGAGCAGGAGGAGGAAGAGCAGGAAGAAGAAGAAGAAGAAGAAGAAGAAGAAGAAGAAGAAGAAGAAGA